TGTTATAAATATTATGGCAAGTATTTCGTATTCACGTTATTTCACATCGAGAGAAAATGCAATTTGCTGAAGTTTAGTGCCGCAATAAAGCTTTTACACGGCCCTTATCAAAAGTGTTACAGGGTGATTCATCTTTTTCGAAAGAAACATGCCGTATAATATTTGCCCATATCGATCTTATTTGCACGGCCTAAATAGTTTAAAATTGAAATTGGATGAAAATCAACTTCAAAATAAGTACCTACCTCTATATAGGTACGTAACCTACAAAAATGATGAGACGTATAAAATCTTGAAAAATAGTACCGAGTGCGAAGTTGTCCCTGAATAATGTTCATATATATATTATATATTATTGGTAAAAATATTTCAATTAAAATAGAAGAGTCATAAATGACATACATACTTTGCGAAACGATTTCCATTGGATAAGTATGATGGATATCCATTGGCTGTGAAAATTTCGTTGTCCATTGTACAACTACAAAATGGATGTCCATTGTATGTACAAATCTCTATGTCCATTGTACATATACACAATGGATGTCCATTGGACATCCATGGACATCCGGCTACCTAATGGATTCAAAATGGACATCCAATGGATGTATGTGTGTTATCTGGGCCCTTATCCACCATGATTCCATCATTATGTTCAGACTTCCCAATAACATTTTATTTATTTAAAGATGCTTTATCAGTTGCTCAACCTTCATATCCTTGAATGCCAACAGTAATTAGTCCTGATGGAGTGATATTGCAATAAGAATTTGACTGATTTTTTGTACTGGGTCTGTACAACAGGAGCACTGAGGAACATAACATATCTTTCTAGATTCTAGTTTTCAGTCTTTTGTACTTGCTGCATGTTTTGGGAAAACAGTAAACTATTTCGTGAATACAAAAACATATTCAACATTTTTCGAAATTCACTGGATTGCACAATGCTGAATTTGTTTGTTTTGTTTATCACCTCCGCCATTTTCATTTTGCTGCTCGACAAAAGACGACTGGGGAAACGGTGACGTCAGGCCAGAGAAATATGAGGCAACCTTATAGAGTTAAATAGCCCTGAGGATTGACTACAAAGCAAAATAGGCACTATCTCTCATCGAGGGCGTGGCTCAAAAGTGGCTTGTAGGAATCAAAAATTAATCCATCTGGGGAGAAATAACTATATGGAACTCAATGAATAACTCGATTTTATTGATGATCAGTCTGAATGTAGGCAGATTTGTATTCCATGAACTTGAAAAATTGTAGCCTTATATAGTTAATTCATTTAAAATTATGTGTATTAGAAAGCTGCTAGTTGTTATCCATACATATATCCGTTAGATTCAATGGTTAACAATCATTTTGATGTTTAAGGATCTGAATACGACTCAATTTCATGCTGATAAAATGGTGGGTAATGGATCAATGTTGATGTTATAGGAAGATTAGATAGGTATATCTTCATTTCATTCCATCAAATTGATTGATTCTAGTGTTAGGTACATAAAAGAGCGGGACCATCAGCCTGTTGAAATATATATATTTCATTCTCAAGTTCCAGGAACGAATCTGCTCCTGTTTTCTAGATGAAAAATGTGAAATATTATTCTCCCTGGCTTTATGCCTCGCAGAACATTGAATTACATCCTCCTGAAATCCATGCAATAATTTGTATAGACGAATGAAATCGGAGGTGTTTCCTTTCTACATGCCGAGCTACGCGTGACTACCTGTAGACTGGTTTCGGGATGATGGCTCTCATCTCTACAGGACTGTCCCATATAGCTTCTTGACCGCTATCTGGTGCAAACCTGACCCAACGCAAACGCATCTCAGCATTTATACCCCACGAGGCGTTCAACGTCCGCGAAATGAAACGCGAACGCCGAACGCCGGCTTTTTCCTAGTTGAGAATAAGCCAGTCGGGCAACCAGCCACTTCCATTTTGCCTGAAATGGGATCTTGTTTTGGAGTGTTTCTTTCCTTGCCCTGTGACGTTCGGCCACCGAACCTGTTTATGTTCGGTCGTTGATTGATATATATACGCGTAAGCGTAATATATCAATCAACGGCGTAATATATCAATCAACGGTTCGGTGGTTCGGCGTTCGCGTTTCATTTCGCGGACGTTGAACGCTTCGTGGAATATAGATGCTGAGATGCGTTTGCGTTGGGTCTGGTTCGCACCAGATAGCGGTCAAGAAGCTATCTGAGACAGCCCTGTACTAAAGAGAGCAAACAGCTCGATACCGGTCTGCAGGTAGTCAAGCGTTCCTGAACCACTTAGGCGCAGCTCGGCGTTTACAAAGGAAACACTTGTGATTTTATTCATCTATCCGAATTATTGCATAGATTTCGGGAGGGTATAATTCAATGTTCTGCGTGGCATATAGCCAGGAAAGTAAATGTTTTTCTCTCGTTATCTACCATTTTCGTTCATTTTATGACCTTGGTTTTCTGTTTCGGGCCAGGAGCTATTACACTTCCAGTCAGCTGCTTATGATCTATAAGGCGCAGATCTGACTCGTCCTGGAATATACACTTCCCATATTTGGAGTGGCGCGCAAACATACCCTGAAACTGTTGGATTCTGTTCAAAAAAGGGCAATTCGTCTCGTGGGTCGTGAGGCCTCGCTCACAAACGCACTCACTTCTCTGGAACACTGTAGAAAAGTTGGCGATCTGGCTCTATTTCAGAGATATGTCCATGGACGATACTCTTCTGAAATATCAACAATTTTACCTCCCTTGCCAGTCCTCGCGAGATTAACCCGTCGAGTTTGAGGCTTCGCACCCCTTCGTGGTCACTTTGGAGACCTGCAGAACATCTCTTTCCAAAGACTCGTACATCCAACGAACAGCGAGGCTCTGGAACACATTGCCAAGGGAGGTGTTCCCCGAGGCATATTACCTCCAGAAATTTGAGAAGCACACCAATTCCTACCTTATTTCCCTTGGTTCTCACGATGTTCTCTGAACATTACAGGATATCCCTTTTCGTGGGAACCAGAACATAAAAAAAATGACTTAGAGTTTCTTTCTATTTGTGATCTGTCTTCATAATGAAGTTATGTAATAATATTCCTCGAATATTCTTGGGACTTTTTGTCATTAATAATTACATACATTTCAAACTGTATAAACAAGGTTTACTCCCTTGATTTCGTTCCGATTTTTCGCCATGACAATAAAACTGCTAAACCATTGAACATGTTTATATTAGTGGTGAATACATTAATGAGAGATTTCTCTTTTACTTTGAGTGTTGTTACTGTGCTTAATCGACCCCTACACGGAAAACGCTATTTGTCGACGACGTAAGCCATTTTGACATCGATAATTTTTTATCGCTGATAAACTGCCTGCTCCTTCGATCTAGTAGCTATTTCCGCCTAATGTCACTCCAAATTCTGTCGTTTCAAGTTTTAGGGAAATCTCGTCTAAAAGAACCACGAAAATATGAGAAAATCAATTCCACAAATTACCAGTTACACAGAATCATCAATAAAGGTAATCATTATTGTTGTTTATTTGTATATTGTCGTTTATTAATCTTGCCAAGAAACATTCGAACTTTTTCTTAATTGGATAAATTTCCTTACTAACTCAAACATTTTCCATCGGTTATTTCTCTCGATTCAGTTTTTCTCGTAAAATAACTGATGGGCAAATGATTTCAGCTATACCAAGAGTAATTTATCCGATTAAAAGCTCTTGTGTTATTACTGTTGGAGAAAATATTTGTGATGATTTCAAATATCGAATTTTCTCATCAAGTATACCATTGATACATGGACAGGGGCGTATTTACCTAAGGGCCAAAAGGGCCATGGCCCGGGGCGGCAGGCTACGAGGGGCGGCGCAAGCCGCACCACGCTTAGGTTTTTTTTTACTTTATTCCTCCGGAGAAATTAGCGTCGGCGGCACACAGTTAGATTACTCCGTGTCGGAACCTTTGATGTCGATGTTCCAATTTTACCTCTCACTCACATGCACTCCTGGGAAACAAAGTCAACAAATTCTGGGTGCGCAAAGCATTTGTCATTTATTGCGAGCGGGATCATTTCAGGTTTAATACCTTCTTTCCAATATGCGACCGATTATTGGGCGAGTTAAGGAAGCGAAAAACTTCGTATGAGGCGGTAACCGCCAATTTTGCATTTTTATGCAAATTGGATACAATGTCTGCTTCAGAAGTGAGATTAAATGCCATAAAACTCCAAAAAGTTTACCCTTTTGATCTGGCGGATGATTTACAAGAAGAATGTGTTCTCTTAAAACAATTCCTGACGTCTCATGAAAATAAAATGAGTTTAAGGCAACTCAGCTCATTTATTAAGCAAAAAGATTTGAAGGAAGCATTTCCATATATTGAAATAGCATTAGGAATATTTCTGTGCACTGCGGTGACCAATTGCAGTGCAGAACGGTCATTTTCTGTACTTAGAAGAATAAAAAATTATTTACGTTCTCGTTTAAGCGAAGAACGTTTGAATAGTTTAGCTATTCTCAATATAGAAGCTGACCTGACAAATTCCATTAATTATGACAGTGTTATTGACGAATTTGTTAACCAATCTGTCCATCGAAAGAAAATGTAAATATCGAATAAATAGTGTTTATTTCTTTCTTTGGCCTTCTTAATTTTTCCATTCATTATTATCATTCTCAACCCAATATACTGCTGGCTTTCATTTCATGATTCAATGTTTTGCTCATTTTCCGTTGATTTATGGGGCGGCAAACCCTACAGGCCCGGGGCGCTGAATATTGAAATACGCCTCTGTACATGGAGAGATATCATTATAAACTAGGTATGTAGCATAAATTCGAGTAGTGTGTCCAATTACTGAATTATACTTGGTCGCATTCGCATCACTGGATCCGGTCCTACTTCTGGCTTCTCTCATAACGTTTTTACAACTATAATTATGCAAGAAAGATAACAAAATTGATTAAAAAATTTGGAAAAATAATTATTCAACTACATTGCGTACATCAAGATGGTTTTCAATTTGAACGGTAAAATTGCACTTATTTCTGGAGGTGCATCTGGTATTGGACTGAATTTTGCAAAAGAACTACTGAAGAATGGAGTGAAGGTGAGTGATAATGACAATTCACAAGTACCGCGTTGATAGATAAGTGTAAAATTTTTTTGCTAAAGGGACGGTAAATAACAAAATTGTGTTGTTGGACTTCATAATATGGGGTAGCAAGTGATAGCTGATCATCAGCAATATAAATTCATATGTTTCAATGATGATAAATAAGTATTTTCACATTCCTGACAAACGAATTGAAAAATGAATCTGGGTCTGTTTTGTACGTCATAGGTCATGGGAATAATATGGGAACGGGATTAATAATTATGATAATTCTCTTCGTTTGCTTTCTAACCAATCAAAACGTTCAATTGAGCTATGCTACCTTGTATAATTACGAATATACGTTGATATACATGAAGTAGTTTCACCAATCAGGAATTTAAATTATTTCCATTTCCATTGTACCCAATTCATGTTGTTACAAATAAACAAGGTGCGTCGTCAAATTTTGACGATTGTTCAGAACTACTTACAAAATAATCGCATCGAATACAATTCGAACTTCTGAATGTTCAAGGTTCTATACATCTCAAACTTCCTACACAATTACAAATCGTGTAAGTTCATCTAAATAATAATCCTTACGCTTCGCGGTCGGACTATCCCATCTGTTATACTGACACTCTTTATAATTATGCAACACGTGATCCATGTATATAACCCAAATATTTCGAAGTCCTTATATATTATTACTACTGGAAAAACTGAATACTTGAGTATTATCTGAATCAAATGAGAGTTGAAAGTTCAATTACTAGTGACGATTATCAAGGTCATCAGATGACGTTGCGATGCCATTTAGCAATAGGAAAAACTACAGAAAAAACATGTCAAACTTCAAGTCCAAGAGCTGGCCGCAAACGATCGTCATCTGAAAACAAAATCATTCATAAGAATATGTCCCAAAAACATGTAAAACCATAGTAGTTTATCGAACGGCACCTGTGCCAATCACCATCCTGCCCTAATAACACAATTATATCCCATGGTTATCCTTAGGACATTCTGTCGGGACATTCAGGACGTTCGAATTTGGTACCGTGGACGTCCATTGGACGTCTGTGGGACGCACAAATGTCCCACTTGGGAACCAACTAGGGACGTCCTTGAGGGATGTCACTGGGACAACTATCGAATACCTAGATCCTATACAGTATTCCTCATCAAGCACTACGCGGAGGACATCCTTAGGACAACCTATCAGCAATGCTGAGGGATGTCAATTGGATGTCCATAGGATGTCCCAGGAACGTACGAATTATTCTTGAATTCGAATTTTTCTGGGTCCCTCGAGGACCAGATCTTTGATAACTGATGAGGACATACAGTTGAGTTGATGGTCCGTAGAAGATTCCCGATAGATCCTGAAAAAGTTTCCCTATGGACTTACGTGAAGGACATTGACGGGGCGTATTTATAGCCTACGAGCAATCATTCGTCGGCCAGGTGTGAGTTTACGTCCTCGCAGGGACCACATATTGAAAGTACCGACTGGGACGTCCGTAGGACGTTATTTCTAGGATTCATTTCTGGAAGAATACAGTTCATGTACCAATTGGGACATCCGACGGATATGCCTAAGGGACCTTCGAAGGATGTCCCTAAGAGACATTTCGATTGTTATACGATCCTGGAAATATTGAGGGTGTCTGTGCAGAGATAATTGAAGTAATGTACGATCAGGGACATTTCATGGTTGTCTAGAAGGAACATTATATAAGATCTGAAGTCATGCCGGAATATGTACTACTCGGGACATTCAATGGATGTCCCCGGAGGAACGTTTAAAATCATATCCCATCAGGGTCTTGCCAAGAACGTCCTTGCATGGACATTCAACAATATGTACCACGTGGGACATCTGAGGAATTCTATTTCTAGGACACTTGAAATGATGTACCTGCTGGGACATTCCGTGGACGTCCTTGCTCGGACATTGCATGGGATGTACGGGATGGGACGCTTATTTTTGGTCCGGGGCATTCGGACTTGAATATCCTTCGCGAATATCCAAACGTGCCGCGATTCAAATGAAATAAGTTATTGGCAGTACGACAATACTTTCCGATGGACCATTGTCAAATTCAACATGTGTATTAGAATTCTTTTAGTGTATAAGCACCACATGAGTTCCACACTGGTCCATCGAATATTCTCATTGGACGAGGGCAAAATATTCACGGAAATATTGACGCTTCGTCACCAACTTAGATCAGTTTCAATCGCGGCACGTTTAAATATTCGCAAAAGGGACATGTGGATTGTGGATTAGAATACTTGTAGTGTAAGCATCGCATGAGTTTCACACTGGTTCATCGATTATTATCATTCGACGAGGGCGAAATATTCACGAAAATTTTGAGGCTCTGCCAGTAACTTATATGAGTTTGAATCGCGACACGTTTGGATATTCGCAAAACGGATATTTTCCCCTATTATTTATGTTTATTTCAACTCGTTATCACTTGACGGAAGTATGTCCGGAATAATAGGAGCAATTAAAGCACTGTGTCGTGGATTTGGTTCAGACTGAGGGGTGGCGTGGGTTGGTTTCTGAGATCTACTATTCCAATTGGTATCTGATGGCCTAATTCTTAGCTCGTTATCGCCAAATTGGGTGCTTTCCGCACAGGAAAGTGCAATGTTTCAACCATTTGCTCAGGAAAGTGATTGGCACAGGTGCCCTTCGATGAACTGCAATATGCTTACTTTCTTTGAGGACATATATCATTTCGTTATCAGATGACGGTGGAAATCTGCAGTCGGCTCTCCTATACTGAAGCTTATTTCAATCTATGCCAGGAGATGCCAAGAGTTAGGTCAATGTCAGATGATACTTAGATATGTAACCTAGATATGTTCCATTTTTTTAATCGAGATTATTCTTCTAGGGAGTGTGCTTAGCAGATGTCAGTCCCGAGTTTGGTGATGAAGCATTGAAGGATATTGAGGCGAAATTTGGTACCAATAGAGCCATATTCGTCCAGACTGATGTAACAGATATCAAACAATTTCAGAGTAAGCCAAGATAGTATCTAAAGAATAGAAGTTGCTTCGTAAGAACCTTCCTTTTCGAAAAATCGCTGTCGCAGCAATACATTTGGTGGTATTTTTCAACTGATATCGATACCAGTGGCGTAGTTTTGACAATATTCACGGCCACTAGAAGAAATGCACCATAATTTAATGTTTTGGTGTTTTTCTTGCATTTCTGGAATTCCAGTGACAAAACTCTAGACGACGTTCATTATCACTTGGTCTTCACCCTTGTACTGTCACTGGTTTTTGTGAACGGCATTGTTTGCCCCGAAATAATTAACTTGCATTTTCTCTTGACGTCTACAGAAATGTCACTTGGCTCCAAGCCAACTCTATGGAAGTTGTGCCAGAACACATAATCGTTATTGTTTAGAGAGAGTTTAGCGCATAGCCTACTGGACATAAAAACATAAATTGGAAATCAGTACGCCTTTTAAGATGAAACTGTGACTGTGATACATCACTAGAAAATAAATTTTATGCTGGTTTCGAATCTGTGAATATCCAATATGGCGTCCATGAGAAAAACCAAAGTTGTAGGGGACATCTCAGAAATTTGACAATTTGATGGAAAACTGACAAAACCATTGAGAAGAACAGCAAAAAGTGCTATGATAATGTTGAAATCATTTTTCCATAAATCGATAGTTTCCGAGATATTCGAGAAAAACAAAGATACGAGATTTAATTTTTTCTCAAATAACTCAAGAATGACTGAAGCTTGCCTGGATTTCTTGATAGATTCTGATTCAATATTAAATTTGCTACAACTTTGCTCATTCAACCGTTTCTCTATCTCCCATAGTTACTGAGATCCCAATGGTGAGGATCGAATTTGGGACACACTGTATAGGTATATCATTTCTGACAGTTCTTATAGTAAATGGAATTTCGGCGCTCACGAAATTTTTAGCTAAGTATACATCAAATTTATATTTCAAACACACTTGGAAGTGATTTCATTTTATGTTATTGTTTAGTTGGGTAGATGAATGATGCATGAAAGATCCAATGTAGAGATATATTTTATATTATTTGTATTTTTTGACGATCTAACCTCCGAAGTAATTCAGGCGGCAATTATGGAATCGTATTCCATATTACCCGACTCAATCATTAAGAACCTCGAAAAATTAACGAAATGAAAAACAATTCGACAGGCTCCACAAAATAAGAAGTGGAATGAGGAAGATGAAAAAGTGCAGTGATAGCAGTTGAAAGCTGAATATATTATGGTCGATATGGATATTGGATACAATGCTTGAGATGCAAGCTTTGGGCACATAATCTGTGTACCTATCTGAGATCGATTTCTACAGTGGAGGAAATATAATAGTATTCCATATATTAATCGAAAATAGTTTTTTCAATAATCCAAGATACTCTTTTAGATGTGTATTCATCTGAGTTTGTTATTATAATTCGGTCTAATAAATCTTTTGGCTACGCCATCACTATTTACAATCTCAATTCCATTCAATAGTTTTATTCGAATATGATAAAAAAATTAAAACGGTATTCCATAATTACCGACTGTACTCTATTTTACATTATTTCGTAGGATGAAGAATAACAAATTCAACAAAACAATAAGATACAGAGGGTGGTCAATTGAAAAATATCACGGTTTGTGTCGAAACTCTGAAACCATAACCTGAAAAAAAAATTTAGTACGTCACTGGATTCTGCGCGAAATTCATAAGTAGGACGACATTGACGGGAACGTGGAAACCGCAAGCCTCTATCTTCGATAACAACCGAGAAACCTGAGCAGTTTCAACGAAAATGGAATGCATTGTACATTTATATGGTACAAAATGCTGTGTCATCGAGAATAGATGTTTGGTACATTAGTACAACATTCCATCTAATGACTAAAATGTTGTTCAATCCCTGAAAATTGATGAAAGTTTAATATTTGTTAGACTGTTTTCACAATTGAGGTATTACTATAGGCACTTGTTTCAAGTATATCAGAAAAATATACTGGATGGTTATCGTTAGCTTTGCGCTTATAAAAGTGGAGCGAAATTGTTGAAATATCCTATATGATGGTGTCCCAACTTATGATATACTGGCAATCTCTCGCTTATTTGACAAGGTAGGTAATTAAAAAATTAGAAGCTTTGAGTGTCATCATTGAACCATCCTAATCACTCATGAAAAAATGTATTACACTTATTGACAGCCATGTGGTATAGCAACCCTCCACCCCCTGTAAATTGTCATTGAAAATTGCGTGTCATTTTATTTGGGATACAACGATAACACTTCATAATTAGTATTTTGTACATTATAAAAAACAAAAAAAAAACATTTTGTAACTTTTTGACTCTGACCATGTTTCTGAAAACTTTACAGAATAGGAGTGGATTTTGGAACAAGAATACGTAATGAGTAGAAAACGCGCCACTTTCTGTGTCGATGATATTTAGTGGGACGAGCGAAGCGAGTTACAAAAAATGCGTTGCCAAACTAGTCATACATACTTTATTTCTTCTTATTCTGATGAGAAAAGTCGCTTGATCGAAAATAGTGACCAGTTCTATATATCCTTAGTTCAACCATGACAGATTATATACAAAATTTACTAAGGAAGTTGATTCCGCCCCTCATTTTGAATACATGTCAATCAATAATATGGTCACAAATTAGAGACAAAATTCACGAAAAAGACTAATTTATATTACATGAGTGGAAAATGGCTGATTCATGTTCAGGCTTTCCAGGTGATATTAAGGGAGCAGCACAAAATGCACTATATTCCCTTCGTCTATCCATTTTCAAGCAACTGCATGGTGTGGCATTTCAAAACTAACATCGATTTTAAAAAGTCTCAAATTAGAAATAATTAGTCTACTTATATTGTGGAGTTTTTAAAAACATGGGAAGTAGGTAATTTTTCATTCAAGTAACGTAAAAAAAGTCACACGCGATTTTCAGGCACTTTAATATGCTATTCGAAGCATTTTTCATAAGTATATTATGGTTATCTTGCAAAATGAACGAAATATTTTGGTGCGCGGAAGGGAATTCCTTATAATGTTCGGAGAGCATCTCCCTACCTAGGGAGGATGTATAGGGAGAGAGGGAAGGTATTGCCTGTATATAATAACTCATTGGGACACCCGGTTTAGGGTATTTCATCGATATTGTTAGTTTTTCATGAGGTCAGAGTAGGGGTCGCCAAGATAAGAATAGGTACTTGTCTTGATAACAACTTCTTGTCTTGAGAAAAAGTCGAGAAATTTCGAAGAATCTTGTCTTGACGTTTTTCTTGACATATAATATCTTGTCTTGACTCGAGAAATTTTAAGATCCTGTAATTTCTTGATTGACTGATGACACCGTTCATGGTGATTCCTTGGCAAACTTTCATCGCTTTGCGTGCTAGGGTTGCCATCTCGGTTTTCATTCCATCAGTAAATATACCTTGCCAGAAATTCAGTAGATTTCATGCAATTCAAATTCCAGGATAATGAAATTAACCTATGACTTTTTCACAAACATCTCAGGCGCTTAGACGCATTCGAATTTATAATCAGTACCGACAGAAAATGTATTTACAGAGCGTTCCCAAATATCATCCAAGATATCATGAGTCTATTTGAATAATCACAGGTCAATAATAATAGGTGATAAAAATAATGAATAATTGTCATAATTTTTTTCCGTGAATTACCAATGTTTCAGGAGATCAGTAGATCAGTAGATCTCCTGAAAATTCAGTAGAACTGGCAACCCTGTCGCGTGCTAACACGGATATCGGGACAAGGCCTGCATGCTCCGTGGGTGACGTCACTTAGTGAGGCCTAACCAGCGGCTCGAAACGACAAGCGCTATAAGGCGACCGCGTATTTCGATTTTAGTTTTAGGTCATCATTGAGCCGATTTTGCTGTTTTTTGAAGGGCTTCCGGTTAAAAAAGGATGCCAGTCGTCAACTGAGCCCTTCTTCGCACCCCATTCGATTTTATTATGGAAAAAAGTTTTAAAGCAAAAACCAGGATTAAACACAAATATCCACCTACAGCAACCCATTCGAATTAAATATATTGGCAAAAATTGTGGTGAAGGTAAACTTCACACCTACTTATACAGGGCCCGCAGAACATAAACGTATCGTGAGATTGATCGAAAGAAAATTGTGGAAAATGTATTTCATTTTGATTGACATATGCCGTTTGTTACAATCACCTATATTTATCTTGGAGAATTCCTATTACCTGAAAAAATAACCAGTGAGTGTTTTCAATTTTCTGCTGTTGGATTTTTCACCCAAGTGGATCGTTACACTTGAAACCGTAATTTTTAAGGTTTTTTTTTTGAAAATTTTTTTCGGTACTCACTTATTTTTGTCTGATGAACCGAATTTTATAATGAAAATGTGAACAAACCACTATTTATTGAGATATTTCAAGAAAAAGTTCGAAATTTCGCCTTCTTTCCCCCCTTGTGTTGGGGGCATTTGAAGCTACTTGCTCTTATTTTGTCATTGGACACTTTATATACTCATGATGTACTTCGATGGCACATTTTTACATAAAAAAATTCAACAGAAAATATGATTTTTATGGCGAGTTTTCCATATTTAGTGAACAAGCATTCCAGATGACGACCATTTAATCAATAGTCAATCAAAATACGAGATGTCAGATGTCAATAGATTGCTTTCGAATGACATTACACACGCCATTATTTTGAATGATATTCTTCCTTCTTTTCACTAAATATGGATTAATCTCAAGAAAATCATATTTATAGTTGAATTATATATAAATTGTCCAATATGATGAAAAAGAAGGGAAATTTGTTCTAAATGCCATCCAGAAGACAGGTGAAAAAGAAGGTGAAATTTGTAACTTTTAAGTCAAATATTTTCATGATAAATATCATGATAAATGCAGTTTTACCTTTTTAAGTAGAGTGTTTGTGATTCATGTTAATATGATAGTTGCAATTTGATCATTGGAATGAATTCTGCATTCATTGCCACGAGGCAAATGACCGTTTTCAGAAAAAATTTGAGAATGAGAATTAAAAATGCCCGTTCATTATGAACATTCAAGAAAATTTCCTCGAATTCAGAGATGATTTTGTTGACTATAATATACGAATACAAAACTAACTGCACAATCAAAGCTTTTCTATTTCTCCTCTACCTATACTTTTTATGAGAGAGTACTATTATTAATTCATCATTATAAATTAAGCTCTGTTTACTACTGAACTTAGATACTTAGATGGAGTAAAATCCTCGCGGTGAATTGCATAATATACTTACCCACATTTTCGATAGCTCCTCGTCCAACGGGAAACTAAAAGCATGAACTTTTGAACCACCCACATAATTCCGCCGACAAAAGGGAACACAACACTCGAAAGGCATTGTTATTTCGCCGATCACAACACAAAATATTTCACAAAACAGTAGTTTTTCCGCCAATTATTTTGATGAATAAACAACGAAAGAATTCGGGACCGTTTCAAAAACATACGTGAATCATCGATGAATTAACACGAACTGACGTGTTAGTCGACAAGCGATAAAATAAAACACTGGCCTCTCTTGGCGACGTCACGAGCTGTTTACGTCAGAGTCTGCTGGCCTTGTTGTATCGGTGGTAACGAATCGGGTGGTTCTTTATTTTTGTTTTCTGACAAAAGCAAACGACATCCCGCACTTGCAATGATGCCAGTTCATGAAGTGGTGGTAAAAAGTACATTTATTGATATTAACTTTAATTTCTACTTGAGTGATAACGCACGTCTCAGCGTCTCCATTCTTAGTGAAGAAATCTCAAGATTTCCTGAAATCTTGGTATTGACCTAACATTTCTTGTCTTGTCTTGAAATCTGAAATAACGTCTTGTCTTGATCTTGTCTTGAGTTCAAGACAAGATCAAGATAAGATCTCGAGATTTTCAAGAAGTTGGTGACCTCTAGGTCAAAGTTTCAGTATATTTTTCTGATATTCGGTACATATGTTTCTCTACGACTATCGTATTCTATATTGATTACATATAGGTTAGTAATTCATGAATGAAGATGATTCCAAGATACCGTGGATCCCAACTCATTATTCAACGGCACTCGACCAATCACAGATTCAGAATTTCCAGGATCCACAGCAACTGAAAAGGTTAGACTAATGAAAAACCAGCAAACCTACAAAACAAATTTCTCAAGAAGGCTCTGCTTCATTTTACGGGTCACGTCACGGCTTGACTTTCGCGAATGTCAGATTGACTTATAGAGTCTTTTAAGTTTAAACTTTGATATCTGGAGGATATAATGGAGGCTTGCCGTTCCATAGAAATGTACTCTATGAATATTGAAGATATTCAAGATCTTGGATCTCCATGGATGATAACTATTCCTGAGACCAAAACAAAAATTGTAAGGAGGTTCACTGTAACCGGGAAATTTTATCAATTTTGTAAAAAGTACATTGATATACGAGCAGCAAATGTTGGGATTTCCAATTTTTTCATGAAAAACCAAGAAGGAAAATGTACTCTCTAGAAAATTGGAATTAATGAGTTTGCAGCAATGGGAAAACAAAAAGTTACATTTTTGAAGCTACCAAATCCCGAGATTCACACCGGGCATTGCTTTGCTTGTCAATGCAGGTGGAGGTATAACAGCATTGAAAAGACATGGTGGCTGGAAGAGCACATCGGTGGCAGAAGGATTTCTAGAAGATTCCATGTTGAATAAAAAAAACGGCAGATTCGAATTCTTCAATGAATCGAACAATGTTCATCATCATCAAATAACAGTTCCTTCACACAAAAAACATCAACTAGCAATATGAATAAAAATGTCAGTGTTTATTTAAATGCAACACCAACAGTAAAATTTCACGAATTGTGAGAATATAGTCACTAAGTAACATGCTTTACTGACCTAATAATTATTGTGTTGTTTCATCATTGAGTTCGTTGAATATTAAAGATTCCTGTCAATTGTATTATCATATCATTAAAATTCATACATCATGTATATTATTTTCATAAATAATAATCAGATTACATTAAATTTCTGACTATCGTATAGTCGTAGAGAAAGTATAGTCTTCTACTCGCGTATAATAGCTATTATTTTCTCGGATAATTCCGAAACTCGCCTACGGCTCGTTTCGGAATCATATCCTCGGGAATAATAGCTATCATTAGACGCTCGTTGACGAATATACTATTATCCACCACTAGCCATTGAAACATATACCATTATTCACGCCTTCTAAAGGCTTTCGAGTGCGTTTTGAATACCAAGGTAGTTTAAGTCATTTTATGAGTTATTTGTCAATAAAGACAAGGCCACCTCTGTAATAATTAACCAGAATTCACAGAAATGGCACTCGTATAGGTATGTATAGTAATGAATATTATTATCGGCTGAATCCTCTAGATATAATCTTGGTTCCTGGGCTATAATGATATTCTTTACTACCTTATTGGTGTATAAATAACTATTTTCTTTTACTACCCACGCGACCAACATAGTAGGAGAAAATTCCACAAAAACTCGATACATTTTTGTGTAATCCAAACTACACTCTGTGTGTTATCTAATGTTCAAAATTTCTTTGATTCAATACGTACCAAGTAGAAAATGTTAACATTTCAATAAACAATCAAATTTGATAGTATTTTCATCAGGGGATTTGTTCTGTTTATACAATTAGGTATTTCTGATATTCTATTTTGACATAGCCATACTCTTCTTATCAAAATGAGGTGTCATACTCCACACCTATCATATCATTTTTATAAGAAGAACCGTATAAATTTCTGAACCATTGAACAATTGAAACCATAAAAGAGATAGAGGAGGGAGAGAGTGAAAGAAAGAGATAGACTGTATAATCAGTCAGATCAGGAATCTACGATCTAAGATGGCTAGATCTTATTGATGTGATATGAAACTATTTTGCACAGAATGTTGGTTATCCTCTCCAATTTTATACATCGTATAGAACCACTATACGAACGTACGAGAATGAGATATAACAAAAAAAAAATAAAATGCTCACCTTCGTGAGCAAAACGTAGACTCTAACATAATGGCACCCGAATGAATCATTTCAAACAATGAGAAATTTGTACAGTTTTGATCATGATCTGGATGATTCAATTACCACATCGTTTGGCCTAAAGCTCAGTTTATTGCTCTGAATGATACAGGTATCTAATTTTATTTTGAATGAATACCCAATGGCTTTCAATTGGAATGGTCTGATAGAAGCAAATATTCCTAATGCTTTGATATTTTCTATTCCAGATGCTTTCGAGAAGACCATAGAAACGTTCAAATACATAGACATACTTATCAATAATGCAGGAATTATGAATGACTCTCTTTGGGAGAAAGAAATTTCGATAAATTTGGTGAGTGGACAGTAGTAATGATTCCTGCTCTATAGTCAATAATAAAAACCAGTTGAACTATCAAGTTCATAGAGAAGTTTGTCTAAGGTTGGTTTGGTTCCAAGGTATGAAAAGTAGTGATAGTAATACCTCCTTTTCCGCAGTTAGACATAAAGATAGAACAAAGAGGCAGAAATAAACCAATAACTGAACAACAAGTTTCTCATAGTATAGACTAAAACCATAGATCTAAATACACACTCATCAAGTGGGTTTGTATTTTCCGAGGTTATTCTTCATTCATATACGACATTCACTTTGATAACTTAGAAATTTGTTCAGGCCTCATCTGATAATACCACTACAAAATTGTATGATACTATATGTTGCGGAACGGCAATATCTTTATCAGAACATATATAATAATTTTTCATAAGTATAGTTTATTTTTACCGCGAAGAAACTGAGCCTCAAGGCGACCAAGATTATGCGTGTCCTTGGACGAGTTTTCGATCACCTATACGCAAAGGTACCAGTAGTACCGCTGGGTCTCGCGCTAAGTGCATATCGCTCGCAGCATTTTTATATTATATTCGAGTGAAACTCAACCCTTCGCTTTGCCCGCTTCACCCTTAACCCGCTTAATTCGCTTAACCCGCCGTCGCTTCAGGCAAGGAAAGTTTGGATCGCTGGAAGGGCCCTTCAGAAGAAGATCAGCAGGATCACAATAAGGTAAGTCGTCTTGCCGGCTCACGCTGTATTTTTTATTTTTGAAGTGCTCTTTTGGCTCGCTTTGGCTTCACAGTTAAATCCACTGCCGTTCCCCTTCATTTGGTCCTTCGATCCACGATCTTGAAACCTATATTTGATCTTAACAATATTTTCCAAATTTTCCGTGTCATTATTTTGCTAATCAAAAATATATAACATTCAAGTTCATAGTTCTGAAACAGCTTCAGATCAAGGAGTCAGGTTAAAATTCGTTATTTTCAAAAAATTCTGAACCATTTTGCTGCTTAAACCAAGTTTTTCTGATGATATTGATAAAATTCACATTTTAGTATAATTTCGCTCGCACCAATTTCATTTATCAGTTCTTAATCGCCGGACATCTTGAGCACGTGAGGTTTTTAATTCGCCGTGTTTGTCATCGGCGTAGGTGGACGGTGGACAGCGCATGACCAGCCATCCAGGTGTTCACAGGTGTTGGCGACCTATATGCGCACATTGACCTGTCTGAAGAACAGCTGATCGCCTGTTATTTACATTTTATTTTATTCCTTGCCAGCTGATCGCCCGCGATTTTATTTGCATTCAGTTGCTTGCGCTCGCTAGGAACTGATTGTATTAATTTTTTCAATTTCTTGCCGGAGTCTGTGCCTGCGAGTACGGAAGTGCAATGGATAAACTCAAAAAGTACAAAACTTATCGCACATCTGCTATTAACGAAATTAATGTTTTGACTGCTCTCGCAGACCGCGCAAAAACCGATAGGTCGGTCCGCAACTTGTTTAGAGTACGGTGTATGGAACTTGACGTATTGAAAGAAGAATTTCTGAAGCAACACAATAACGTAGTTACAACGTTACTCACTATTCCAGAGGCTGATTTGGACGTAGAAGAGGTCATTCGTGAGGGATTTTTATCAGACTTTTACATGATTAAAACTGTTTTCACTGAATTATTCGATAATGACTTTCTAGTTATGTCCAATGCTAATAGCACCACGTTGCCAAATCTACGATCAAATCAGTGTCATGTGCGATTACCAAAAATTGAACTGAAGAAATTCAGTGGCGATTACAAATCTTTCACTTCATTTATTGATCATTTCAATTCGTTAGTTCATAATAATGAATCATTATCTGAGGTGGAAAAATTCAATTATCTGATTTCGTCATTACAAGGCCAACCCTTAACGATAGTTCGCACTTTGCCGCTCACCTCAGATAATTATAACATTGCTTATGCTACATTAATAGAACGATATTCAAATAAAAGATTGTGTGCACAGGCTCATTGGACAGAAATCGAGGGAACTGCAAAGATTGATTCCGAAAATTCAATTTCACTTCGAAAACTGTTGGACACATTTAGTGAAAATTTAGCCGCTCTCAAATCTCTGAAATTTCCTACCGATCAATGGGACTTCATAATGGTCATGATGCTTTTAAAACGACTTGATAATGCAACCGTTACGCGATTTGAAATGGAGCATCGTTCGTCAGATGTACCTAGTTACAAAAAACTTGTAGATTTTTTGAATGATCAGTGCATTGTTCTGGATACTTTGAAAATTTCTAGTTGCACTTCAAATAAGCGGTCTGTTCCAATGTCGCCAAAACCAAATACTTCAATCAGTCGCACCACATCATTCTTTGCTAACAAGTCACCTGCATCTACTTGTGTGTTTTGCAAAGAAAATCACTCCTTATATACTTGTCAGGCTTTTGCTAGTAAAACACCCTCTGAAAGATATTCCTTTTGTAAAAGCATACGCCTCTGCTTTAATTGCTTAAGTAGCTCACATGATCTAAGATCCTGTAAATCTACTTACTCGTGTAAATCCTGTTTCTCCAGGACTCATCACACATTGCTTCATCAAGATAAACCTTCATCCTCAAGTGGAACCACGAGTGTTCCTGTCTCAGATTCTCCTGCCGGAAGTAGTACTAATAGTACTTTTGCCGCCTCCGGTATAGTTGCAAATTCCCACAGTGTTTTATTAGCCACCGCTTATATTGATGTTCTAAATAACCAAGGATCCTATCAACCCCTTCGCTGTTTGTTGGACTCAGGAAGTATGAGCTCATTTATTTCTCAAAAGGCTGCAAGTAAACTGGGATTACCGAAGTCATCATTTTCAGTTGAGGTCAAAGGACTAGGGTCCATGAAATCGTCAATTAGTAATGGTTGCGTAACCTTCTCCTTTAAACCTCTCAATAAACCCGCCCCCCTATATCACACTGACGCAATAATTTTAAACAAAATTTGCGATGATTTACCCGAATGTAATGTTCCGTATAAATCTTGGCAACATATTTCTAATTTGCAACTTGCGGATCCTCAGTTTTATAGTCCAGGAAAAATTGATATTTTACTGGGAGCCGATGTGTTTTCTAAAATTTTATTGAACGGTCGAATTGCAGGAAATTCACACGAACCAGATGCCATCAACACTGTATTCGGTTACATCTTGATGGGTAAAACCAACATTTCACGTGAGGTGGCGATATCGTCATTTCTTTGTAATTTTCCCTCATCCGATATGGAAGATACTCTGACCCGATTTTGGGAGACTGAAAATGTTCCAAATGCTTTATCATCTAGTCCAGATGATGTCAATTGTGAAAAAATATTTTCCGAAACAATAACGCGTGATCCCAATGGCCGCTATATTGTGTCACTTCCACTGAAAGGTAATGACCTGAAATTCCCAGGAATTCGTGATCCAGCCCTGAATAGATTTTTTTCGTTAGAACGCCGTCTGCTGAAAAATCCTGAATTATATTTACAATATTCCAACTTCATGAGAGAATATTTAGACCTTAACCATATGGAATTAGTCTCCAGTCATGACTCACCTCCAAGCTCGTACTATATTCCCCATCATTGTGTGCTCAAGCCGCATAGTACTACCACTAAATTAAGAGTGGTATTCAATGCATCTGCAAAATTGCCAAATCAGACGTCACTAAATGATCATTTATATATCGGAGAGAAACTGCAGCAGGATATTGTTGCAATTCTCCTCAACTTTCGATTGAATCCTTACGTTCTATGTGCAGACATCAAACAAATGTACAGGATGATATTGCTTCATCCTACCCACCGCGATTTTCAGAGAATTATTTGGCGATTTTCTTCAGCTCATCCAGTCCAGGATTATCGTTTACGAACCCTCACGTATGGAACCAATTGTGCACCCTATCTAGCCCTTCGGACCTTGAAACAGCTTGCTGACGATGAGGGTAGGGCATTTCCGCTTGCCTCCCATGCTATTCGCAATTTCTGTTACATTGATGATTTTGTATTATCCTGCCCTACTCTCGAAAATGCCCAAACACTCATGACTGAGCTTACTGCCCTAATGACCAGAGGGGGATTCGAGCTGAGAAAATGGTCAAGTAACGAACCATCTCTGTTATCTACTTTGCCCGTTTCCTATTTGTCACATGATCCGCTTGTATTTAACTCCGACTCGCAAGACACGTGCTTGAAAATATTGGGTTTAAGGTGGAACCCCCTTCTTGATTGTTTCTCTTTTTGTGTCAATCCTCTCAAAAATCGATGTGTTACAAAACGCACCTTATTATCTGAATTGGCGCGGATCTATGATCCAATTGGATTTATTTCTCCGATTACCTTTTTTTGCAAACATCTCATTCAAAAGCTCTGGTTATCAGGACTTGGATGGGATGATAAACCTGATACCGAGATTATAAGCATTTGGGCTAAGTTTCAATCAGAGTTATCGTTGCTTTCTAATTTGAAAATTCCTCGAAATTTCTTCAACTTCTCTACCGTCAACTATGAACTTCATGGTTTCAGTGATGCTAGTGAAAAGGGTTATGCTTGCGTGGTGTATTTTCGTACGTGTGATGAAAATAACTGTATATCGACCAGTTTCGTTTCTGCAAAATCCAAAGTCGCCCCTACTAAAACAATGACCATTCCTCGACTTGAATTGTGCGGTGCTGTGCTTTTAACCAAGCTCATGTCTTACGTAATTCGAACATTTTCTAATCAATTTACCTTTTCAAGAATCTGTGCATGGTCAGATTCTCAGATCACCTTGCATTGGATAAAAGGTCATCCCCATCGATGGCCTACTTTTGTTTCCAACCGAGTCTCGTTCATACAAGAAAACATTTCACCGTCTTCTTGGTCTTATGTAGATTCGGCCAACAATCCCGCAGATATTGCATCCAGGGGAGTCCTCCCCTCGGCACTGATCTCTCACTCTATGTGGCTTGAGGGCCCTCCATTCCTACGAGAAAACGAGAGCTTGTGGCCAGTGG